AATGGACCTCGACGGGAAAAGCCTCCGGTAGAAGGAGCCGGGGACTCCCGCAGCGAAGTAGGAGCGGTGGCTGTCGGTGGCAAGGGCCTCCTCCATGCTGCCGCCGTGGTTGCCCAGAGGAGGGAGGAGCTGGAAGAGGGTGTTGAAGTCAGTGCTAGGGAGATCAGAGAAAAAGGCTGAGAACTCAGGTGAGTCATTTCCCAAGGCATCATAGCGCTTGGCCATGTGCTTGATGATCGCATCTACGGTGTTGATGCTGTTGCTTCCACTTGAGCATCCAAGGTCCGCAACCACAAAGGGGACTTCTGGAGAGCTCAGCTGCATTCTGTCTAGGGTTTCTTTAAGCAGGTGAAGCATGGAACTTGCATGTTTGGCCTGAAAAATTAAGGACAAAAGTATTATTGGCACATAAATTAAGCAACTTGAAATTTTGAAAAAAAAATTAATATAGTTAATGGACTAATTACCTGGGCTTGGGAATTATTAGCATAGCTTAACTCTCCTTTGCCTCCTTTCATGCTAAATATCTTCTCGAGATTTATACTTGAAACTGAAACATTGTCTCCCTTAGGAGCCATGAATATGACCAATTAATAAGAAGTATTTGAAATAAGATTAATACTGTGGTAAGGGTGAAAGAGAGGGAGGGGTTTTGTTTTTCAGAAGTGTGATACTAAATCACGATGTAGTGCATTTTGGAGTGCCATGATGCCGAGCTAACTCTTTAAGGCCTCATTTGTTAGGGAGGGCAAGACTAGATTAGCAAAATGCCTACATTTCATGTGCATTCAAGGCATAATATGGATATTGTTGTCTAACTTGGAGGATTAAAGAGGACTATTCATAAGAAGTTGATGATTAGGCATTTTACCAGACTAGTCTAGTCCTCTCTATCAAATATGTTTGTGTTGTCATTGTGTATGAACCTGGATTTTCAATATTATTGAATTTTTTCGTATTAATGTTATTATTAAGGTTTATTGTCCTTATACTTCAATGTTCTAGAGATGTTGGTCGTTTCTACTTTAATTTATTTTTGAAAATTTACTATACAAACGTTGTATTTGGTATTTCACATCCGTTAACTTCCGTTTACTCTTCACATCCTAAAATTTGTTTACACAACCCATTGCATGTCATAATTACATTTTTATCCCTATTATAAGAAGATAATGAAAAACAAAAAGTAAAATGAATAAAGATAATTTTTTT